TGTAACACTCAGTGATGTGGGCATTGACCATTCCCTTTTTTTCAGTATGGCGCCCTTGACTTTCGTTGACATTTGCTAAGCCGCAAGCCCTGGCTCATCGAGCTCTGCCTTGACCACCAGCACCCCACACCCCAGCCCCACTCCTCGGTGCCCTGCTTCTCTCCTTCCTTTGTACCCCTCTTAGGGTCTTCTGGCTTCCTTACTAAGGACAGAAGGCGTCCTTGAAGGTGATGGCAAAATAGGCCTGTGCGTGTGCCCCCGTGGGATCCCCGAAGTCAGCACCTTGGCCCATACTTGCATCCCTAAGGACTGGAATGCTCATCTGAATAAAGGCTGTTCCTATCTCCTCCCTGCTTAGCCTTCAGTCTGTCTCTCTCTGGGGGCTTTCTGGTCGGTGTGCTGTGTACATGTCCATCCACTGCTCTGGCTCTCTATTCCTTTTTCCTCCCTCACCTGAGTGGAGCAGATCTGGATCTAGGTCCTGCCCCCAGTCCTTCCCCACCCCCATCCACATTCTGTGTTCCCTTCCCTTCCCTTCTCCTTAAAGAGCAGGCATGCTGTGCTGGGGCCCAGGTGGACCAGGTGATGGTAATCTAGTAATTATTGATTCCGGAGGGACTTGGAGGACATATTTACATAAAAACCATAATGCGAGTGGAGCTTCTGCTGTGGAAATTAGGTACTTTAAGGCCTGGCTCCTGGGGGAGGCAGGGGCCAGGGGAGGCTTGGGAATAATGAGGGGAGGGTGGCTGTCACACCGCCTCAGATGAAGGGCTGATGGCCGATGGAGGAAAAGCCCCAGCTAAGGTCTAAAAAGATGATATTTGCATAGGCATCAAATATCACCAATGAGATGTTATATCAGTCAGGGTCCCCCCCCCCCACCCCCCGGAAACAGATGGCACACTCAAACTGGGAAATGGGAGGGCAGTTTAATAAAGGAACTATTTATGAAGGTGTGGGAAGGGGTTTGGGAGCCATATGGGACTGCTCACTGGGCTCTACCCTGCCGCCGATAATGAGGGGCTGGCACCACCCCAGGCAAAGAGAGGAGGGGGGAGCTTAACTCTGACCTTCTGTGGGGGGATGCGGCTGCTCACCCAGCTGCCTCCTCTCTCTCCCATTCCTCCCATCTTCCGCCAGTGTCCCCACTGGCCAAACAGAGGGAAGGAGTCCCCTGTTGCAGCCCAGGCACTGAGCACGGAGGAGGGGCAGAGTAGAGGGACAAATAGAAAGCATCCAGCACAAGTGTCAAAGGGCAAGAGGAAATTCCATAGCAGTGCCAGCCCCATGCAGCAGGAAAGACCCAGTGTAGCTCTCAGGAATAATGCCACGTGAGCGGCCACGTGAAAGTCACTCCAGGGAGGATGTCTGGGCCAAAGCTCCCTCCCAGAGGGTTTCCACTAGCAGGGGTGTCCAACCTCTCCCGGGGAGGGACACAGAATTCCACATTTGAACCTGAGGCTGAGGGGACCAAGAGGTGCTCCAGAGACTAAGGCCCCCTGGGATGCAGGATGAGGCCAGGTAAGGGAGAAGGGAGCTCTTCCAGGTGCACCGTCCGCATAGTCACTGGGGTATTTCCTCAAAGCCTCTCAGCAACACGATGACAGGAGTTACCCCATCTCACACAGGTGTGAGGAAACAGACAAGAAGAAGTCATCCTACTCTCATTTTCCAGACCTAGAGTAAGGTAGTGGTGGTAGGAAAGGAAGAGAGGAGGGGTTAGGAGCAAAGGGTGTTCGAGAGGAATGGAACCCTAGGGGCCCCTAGTCCCTGCAGAGGTTTGTCACAGTCATCTTTGGAATCACTCACCTGCTGGTCCCAGGACCCCACCTCCAGTGGACGGGGTTCTGATTTGTCCCCACCTCCAGCAGGGAATCCCTGATCTAGTCCAACCTTTTATTTCACAGATGACGACTGTCACCAGGGAGGTCTATCGGTGGGTTAGGGACCTGTGAGGGATGTGATGTCAACAAGGCTTGGTGGGTGACACGTTGGATGGGCCAGGAAAGGAGGGAGGTGGGAGCTGATTCAGAGTGTCTGAGTCAAGCTCCAGAGGAAGTGTTGTGCTGCCCCATATTAGGAGTTTTAGGGAACCCAAACTAGTCTGGGTTTGTGAGTTCGAGCCCCAAATCTGACTCTGAGCTGACAGCGCAAAGCCTACTTGGGATTTTCTGGCTCCCTCTCTCTCTGCCCCTCTCCTACTCTCTTCCCCACTCCCCACCTCAAAATAAATAAACTTTAAAAAAAATAAAAAGTTTTTGAGGTTTTTATTGAATGGGTGATATTAAACATTTAATAGTCAAAAGTGAAAATAATATAAAAAGGTGTATATATTGGGACACCTGGGTGGCTCAGTCAATTAAGCGTCCGACTTTGGCTCAGGTCATGATCTGATGGTCTGTGAGTTTGAGCCCTGCATCGAGCTCTGTGCTGACCTCTCAGAGCTTGGAGCCTGCTTTGGATTCTGTGTCTCCTGCTCTCTCTCCCTCTCTCTCCCTCTCTCTCTCTCTCTCTCTCCCCCCTCATCCCCCACTAGTGCTCTGTCTCTCAAACATAAATAAATGTAAAAAAAAATTTTAAGGTATATATTAAGGAGCATCTGTCATGATTTTGCTATTTATAGGTAGCCTGATTTAAAATTAGTTTGGGTTTATTTTTCCAGTGTCTGTTAATGCTCATACCAGCAATTATAAATATGTATTCTCATTTCCACCTTCTTTTTTACACAAAAGGTATCAAGCTAATACCCTGTTCTGCATCGGGTTTTTTCCAGTCACTATACCTGGAGATTTCTCCATATCGAAATCTAGGGAAAAATCCCCATTCTTTTCTAGAGCTGTGTAGTATTCCGTTACACAAATACACCCTCGCGTATTCAAGCAGTCTCCAGTTGCTAGGTGTTTGGTTGTTTCCTGTTTTCTGTTACTTCAAAGAATGCCCCCAAGGAGTAATTTTGTGCATAAATCACCTGGCACATGTACAGGTGCCTGTTTAGTCTATTTTTGCTTCTCAACTATCTCTGGTGAAGGAGCAGGTTTTACATTTCAATTTACAATCTGTCGCAGATGGATACTTACATAAAATTCAATAAAAGTGAATTACTGGAGAAGTGAATTGACAAAAAAACTATGAAAAATACAAGCCTCCAAATTTTATTAGATCCAATAGACATAAAAATTACTCTGTCACATTACTATAAAGATTTTTAAACACTCTCAAGTTTCTGCATTTATCTTACCACAAAGTTGTCACAGTTTGTGGATTTGACACTGATCTGCGGACCACACTTTGAGTAGCACTGGTTAAGACTCCCAGAAATTAGATCAAAAGGTACATGCCTCTGTCGTTTTGCCAGATTCCTCTCCATAGGGCTTGTATCATTGTTGCACGATGGTATATGAGAGTGCCCCCTTCCCCACAGCCTCGCCGAGAGTGTCATCTGTCTTGGAATTTTGCTAAACTCATAGGTGAACAGTAGTAGCTCAGTCTAGGTTTTAATCTGCATTGTTCTTATTGTGAGTGAAGATAGCGTCTTAATTAATTAAAGTATTTATTTATTTACAGAGAGAGAGAGAACGCATGCACACATGCACAAGCAGTGGAGGGGCAGAGAGAGGGGGACAGAGAGAATCTTAAGCAGGCTCCATCCACACCGAACTGGCTGCAGGGCTAGATCTCATGACTCTGAGATCATGACCTGAGCTAAAATCAAGAGTCAGATGCTTGAGGCACCTGGGTGGCTCAGTGCCTTGAGTGTCTGACTTCAACTCAGGTCATGATCTCGTGGTTTGTGGGTTCGAGCCCCTCGTTGGGCTCTGTGTTGGCAGCTCAGAGCCTGGAGCCTGCCTCGGATTCTGTGTCTCCTTCTCTCTGCCTCTCCCCCACTCACACTGTGTCTCTCTCTCTCAAAAATAAATAAATGTTACAAAAAAAAAAGAGTCGGATACGTAACAACTGAGCCACCCAGGTGCTCCAGTGTCATTCATATCTTTAAGCCCTATTTGTACATATATTCTTTGCCTATTTTGTACTGTATTATTGACCTTTTTCCTCTTGATTCCCAGGAATTATTTATACATTAGGAATATTAGCCCCTTGTCTGTGATATGTAATGCAAATATTTTTTTCCAGTTTGTCATTTGCCTTTTGATTTTGTTTGGTGTTTGCTTGGGGGGGGGCATGCAGAAGTTTGAAGTTTTATGTAGTTAAATATGTCAATCTTTTCTTTAATAGCTTCTGGATTTTGAGTCCCGGTTCTTTATTCCAAAATTATAAAGAATTCTGCCCGCATTTTCTTCTAGTATTTTTATGGTTTTATTCTTAACACCTAAATCTTTTATCCAGTTGGAATTTTTCCTAGTACAAGGTGTAGGTTATGGATCCAAATTTATCTTTTCAACGTTTATTTATTTTTGGGACAGAGAGAGACAGAGCATGAACAGGCGAGGGGCAGAGAGAGAGGGAGACACAGAATTGGAAACAGGCTCCAGGCTCTGAGCCATCAGCCCAGAGCCCTACGCGGGGCTCGAACTCACGGACCGCGAGATCGTGACCTGGCTGAAGTCGGACGCTTAACCGACTGCGCCACCCAGGCGCCCCCAAATTTATCTTTTTACAAATGGCTACCCACGTGTCCTAGCTCCACTTATTAAGATCCCTAGATACCACCTTTATCATTAAAACTAATTTTACGCCATTTGGGATCATAATAGAAAAAGCTCTATAATTTGTCAGTTTTATCCAGAATACCATTGCAAGGGAAATTAGCTCTCCAGATATGATCTATAACTCTGTGTTACTAGAGCAGACTAAACTATAAGTAACATAGGTAAAATGTAAATGTATTTAAACAAGCAAACACAGCCCGTGGGCCTGCCAACAACCATGGAGGAAACTGGGAGAAGTAGGCCTTGCTGAGGGAGCTCGTGATGAGAGTCAATGTTTGTATTGCAGACCTTACCTGCCTGCCTCCGGAGCTAGGACTGCAGAGGGGCCCAACGATGGTGTTCCTGGGACCCCTGGCTCTCACCCTGTTGCCGCCCAGCCTCACACTGCTGGTGTTCCACCTGTCCAGCTCCCAGGATGTCGTCACTGAACCTAGCAGTGAGCAGCAGCTGTGCACCCTGAGGGAACACCCCACTGTGGCCTTTGCAGGTGAGAGCCACTTCCCACTCGGTCCTTTTTGCAATGGCTGTGCCTTGAAGGACTTAGGTCTGAACTCAGCAGGGTCTCTTTGATGTTGGAAGTCCTGGGATGTTCCCCTAGGGATAAATGTTAGAAGGATGAGTAGCCATGGGCTGGAGGGGTCTGATTTTGGTCTCCAATTTATTTAAGCCTTCCATCCATGTTTACCTGGAGGAGGAGGGTGCCTTGCTCTGGCATTCCTGCTAGGAGGAGGGGTTGCGGGTACTTTGGGTAGAGTGGACAGGGGTTCATTGGCCATCTCAGCTCTAGCTCTTCTGGAAGCATGAGTATTTCTTAGCTTCGTTGGGGGGCCAGAATGAAGATGACTCACTCCTTAGGAGGTGCCTGGAGATCTCTGGAAGGCTTCCTTCTGCTCTAAGACAGTTGCAGATGCCTGTCTTCAGGGCCCTGGGAACCCACAGGGAAACGGGTCCTTGGTGACTGATAACTCCCTCTGTCTGTCAAGGGAGGGCATGAGAGTGTCCTGTTAAAGTGTTTCCCAAACTGGGATTTGTGACTCACTGGGCGTATTCTGAGAGGCCTATAAATTCTCAATAAGGGTTTCTAAAATTAATACATACAGTCGATGATAATCGAAAACCAAAACAAAACATAAATACCAGAACATGCGGGATGTTCTCCCATGACCTGTTGGCCAGTTTGGGGCTCCCTGGTGGTGCCACATCAGCACTTCCGAATCCGTCACCTGCATGGCAGCTCACACTGGGATCTGCGGATGTAGCTTCAGGGGTCCCCAGGTTCTTAAGTCTGATAGACACCTGCCCTATTTCCTCATCACAAGTACCCTGGCAAGGAGGCAAGGCAAGGACTGTCACCTCCCTTTACAAATGGGAGGGCTGAGGTGTAGAGGGTGGGAGAGACTTGTCAGAGGCGGGCCTTCACGTTGGGCACCCAGTGCTCTTTCTACTCTCCGTGGCAGAGCGATCGGGGCTCCACCTTCTAGGTGCCACGGGCAGGAGGGTGAGGAGCCGTCCTCAGGATTCCACACAGCTAATCGAGAGGGCAGAGATGGAAACCAGAGCAGAAAAACAAATGCCCGAGTGCGAGGCTGGCATGGGATTTGGGGGATAGGAGGGGTGGTATGGATAGGTGTTGGGGTTAGCAAGGTGGGGAGGCTGGGGCGGCTGGGAAGTGTGGGATTCCCAGCTGTGGGCTGGCTCCTGCCTCCGGGAGGAGAATTTGCAGCTGTCTTCTCAGTGCTGTCTTGTTTGAGCTGGGATCCAAGGCTTTGAAGGCTTAAGTGGATTAAAGTAAATTAGCAATGTCCTTAAGCCTACAAAACACGCGTACACTCTCAGACTTCTGATGGCTCCCAGCGTGCTGGTGGCTGTCACTGAAGGGAAGGACCAAGTGCGGGACAGAAGGAGCGGGACTCTCAGGGCTATCCTCATCTTGGATGCCCCATGGCAACTCCTGATGAACCATTTCCTCTGAGGGGCTTTGCTGAAGGCCACTGTTGGCCTGGTGGATTCTTGGGGCAGGTACAACGGAAGGAGAGCAAGAGAATTTCTGTCCCCCAGCCAGGCTGGTCTGGACTGGAGCAAACTAGATAGGGGGGTAGGGGTAATGGAGAGGTGGAAGATGTGTTCCTTGAATGCCTGGCTTCATTCCCACCATTTTTTATCTTAAGGTGTATATTACTTGAATGAAATAACCTCCTTCCCCACCCTCTTTCAGAATGGAGGAATGAGGCTCAGATTGTCATGGAGTAACTAAGGAATCCCCTTAGCCCCAGCAAGCAGAGATGTCCATCATCCTAGACTGACAGCCCTAGAGTGTGGCATCATCTCTACTTTTCCTCCCCAGCCCTCCTGGCCTCCCCTCCACCCACCTGGGTCTCCGTTCTGACAACTTTGGATTTTCCTATCCATTCACCAAATTGTTATTGGGCCCTACTTGAACCAAGGACAGGGCTAGATGCTGTGGGACTTCAGAGGTAAGAGTTTCCTCTGGGTACTCGAGTATCTCTTGTTGTTCCTTAAAGATCACTCCCTTTGGTCTGCCAGTGCAGTTGGTCCTGCACTAGGACTGGTCCTCTTGTCTCCCCACACCCTTTAGTACTGGTGAGCACACACCAGGGACTCAATTCATGTTGGAAACTGTGTTCTGGGTGATGCTGCCGTTCCAGAGAGGTTGCCATGTAACCCAGCCCAGTGCCAACTGCCTGCTTCCAGGATCCCCTCAGATGTTACATTTTATTTCTGACTGATCAGTAGGCTTCCAACTCTGTAGCTGTGAGTTGCCTTCTCCCCTGACACCTGGCTGATCTGTGAATAACCCCTAAATACCCTAGAGGACCTGCCAGTTGCAGAGTCTGGCAGGCGTTTTTCCATCTTGTAAGGTTAAATTTTCTCCTTCTTTTAAGGGGGGCCCACCTGTGTCTCTCTTTGGCCCGCACGTTATTCCTTCTGCCACGGCATGGAATTTCTAGGAGGCAGGGAGAAGCCAGGATGGAGTTAACACTGACAGTGGTTAATCCACAAACTGGGTAATTGAATTGACTATAATTAAAATCACAGGCGCGTCATGGAGAATGTCATTTTTCTCTTAAAGTCGCCGTCCAAAGCCTTCCCTGCACACGGAGCTCAGAACGTGCTTGGTGTTTTAAAGACAGGTTTCCCTCTGGTCCTGTTTGCCTGTTTAATAAGAGGAAGCTGGCTCCTTTCCCAAGACAGCTCCCCCAGGATCAGCGTGCTGCACCCGCCTGCCTCTCTCCCCCCTCGCCCCTTTCCCCTTGCCCTTGTCAGTTACAAGAAACTGGAAGCGGCCGTCACCCTCCACTCCTTCCTCTGCCCCTGCCTCCCATTGTCTTCACATCTCCTACCCTGTTTCGTCTTCCTTTCCCTTCCCTGCCCCAGGGAAGGGCCTGAGTGAAGACTGAGCTGAGAAGTCCCCACATGGAGTTTCTCCTGGTTTGCTGCACACCAGTCATGCCACCCCTTCCCCTGTTCAGCTGCCCACATCTGGAAGACCCCTGTCGGAGGGGACAAAAGGAACTAAAGGGTGACCCAGTTGCTACCGTTGGGGAGCACTCATCTGATGGTGACAGGCAAGCCCTCCATATCTTCCCCAACCCCACCACAGAAAACAGGCTTGAGCACATTCAGAGTGACAAAAAAATACACTGTGAACAGAATAGTCAAGGTAGAGAGAATATGGAGCAAAATAAAATCAGGGTGGAGAGATTGTGATCCAGGAAGTCTTCCTGGAGGAGAGTCCTTGGCTTAGTCTATAAAGTAGTATACCATTCTTCCAGGATTTCTGAGTGTGGCCCTGAGATCAACTAAAAATCCAGCTTACCCGACTCCTGATCCACTTCTTATACCGATATTGCCCAAATGCCATTGCAACTTCATGGTAATTCTTGCTAACCTATAGTCCCCTGCTGAGGACAGAGGCAGACCCAAGGGGTTTGTTACATTTTGCTGTAGAATTTCTTTCTTCTTCTTTTTTTTTAATCATGCATATCACAGTTTTCTGAAAAACATCCAACTCACAAAACCTCAAGTTCTCCAGGGAGCGATTAAGTGTTTGCTTGTCGTGCAGAAATGAAGGGCTGCTTTTACTCTGTAGTGGAGGGATAATGAGCAATGATTTATTTCCCCTGGATTACACACACACACACACACACACACACACACACACACACACACACGCATCACGCACTTCTCTGGGCCTTCTGTGAGCCAGTTGCTAATAGACTGTGGGGAGAAAGCACCGGACCTCACATTCCCCCCTCATCTTTTTCTCCATTGGCATGGAGTCTCCAGTGGAAGGGAAAGAGGGAAAGTCAGCGTACCCTGACGTACCATCCCCAGGCGTACCTTCCACAGACCACTGCCCCATCCATCCAGAGGGCTGTGAGATCTCCTCTCTGCCCACCAATCTCCATGGAAGACTTTGGCCTCGGCTGGGAAGCTCCTTCGTTGGAGACAGGGATAGACAGGGATAAACCCACCTTCTGTTTCCCACCTCCACGGAAGCTTGTTTGAAAACTTGGTTCTTCTTGTACAGATGGGAATTGTGGATTGATCCTGCATTTACTCAATTCCTTCCAGGTGTTGGACACAGCCTAGAGATCTAAGAAGCAAGGGCTTCCCTACCCCCCAGGGAAAACAATGGGGATATACACCCAGCAATATGGGGGCTTTGATGGCAGTAAAGTACAGGCCTCACCCAGGCTTTCGGGAGTCAGGGAAGGCTTCTTGGAGGAGGTAGGGTGGGGATGGGGCTGAACAGGAACTGTTCCACTGAGGGAGAACAGAAAGGCAAAGTTTGCAGGCTCTGGTGGGATAGATCTGCACAGTGTTCTAGTTTAGTATGGCTGGAGCAGTAGTTTGAGGGGAAATGTAAAATATGAAGTATGATTCTTTCTGTGGCACTAAATAATTAATGTGCTAGGCATCCAAACTGGGAAGACAGTGCAGAGCCCAAAGGCCTTCATAAGAGTTGAGACTTTTTCTGGGGTCAACTGGGAGCTATTAAAGGGTTCTAAGCTGCAGAGCGACAAAACCAGATTTGCATTTTAGAAAGATCGCTCTGGTTGCTATGTAGGAAATGGACCGACCAGAGGGGCAGGAGTGGAGGCCAGGTTAGATAGGATGCTTCTGGCACCAGGCCAGGCAAGAGATGATACTAGCTTGGATGGGGGCAGGGTACAGAGGGCAAAAGGGATGGATTTCTTGGAAGTGGGACAGATAAGATTTCTGAGTGTTTTTAAGTGCTGGTGAGGGTTTAGGGGAGGGAAGGATGATTACAGTTTTCCCTTTGGGCAGCTAGGGGTTAGGTGGAGCCCTTCTCTGAGATAGCGGACATAGCAGGAACAGTGGCGACACCCCCACCCCATCTCTCCCAGCTGGCTGCTCACAGAGGGGGCAAATGGAACCCAGGTGTAGGGGGTGCCAAGACTGCTTCCGCCTCACCGCTCGCTGATGTTAGCCCTTTCATTGTGGGGTCCAGTGCTGGCACAGCTGGTCCAACAGTAACTGGAATGCCTGCTTCTCCCTCCACCAGATCTGAAGCCGTGGGTCTTCAACTTCACCTACCCTGGAGCCCGAGACTTCTCCCAGCTTGCTCTGGATCCCTCCAGGAACCAGCTCATCGTGGGAGCCAGGTAACGAGGTGCAGGAGGGTTGGTGCCACGAGGGGTAGTGTGCTTAGGATTGGATGGAGGGAATGTCATTTGGGATGAGCCCGCTATGGGCAGGCCCTCATCCTGGGCCCATGTTCCTCTCTGCCAGGCCCTCTCTGTATCTGAATGTCTGTCTCCCACAAGAGGAAGCATTAGTTGGAGCAAGGCGGGGAGGAGGGTGACCTCTAGACCCCCAGATTCCGTGGCTGGTAGTTTGCAAGAGCAGGAACATCTGCTGGCCACCTTCTACCCCGCGTCCCTACCCTGCTTCCTGGACTGCCCAGGCAAAGTCCTCCCTGAGAGCTCCATGCAGGGAAGGTGCCCAAGAACCCCCTGCTGGCTGGCTGGCCACCTGCACCTGGGATGCTGGACTCAGGCCATGGCCTTCCTGTATGAAGCACCTCACTTCCCTCCCTGTTGCCTAATCTTGTTTAGCCTCACTATTCTGGCTCTAGGGAGGGCTTGTGGAGACCTTACAAAATTGTAGACTCTTAGCTCTAGTAGAGAAGGGAGCTTAGAGATGGTTTACTCCAGTGGGTCTCAGAGAGTGATCCCTGGACCAGCGGTACCAACAGCACCAGGAACTTGTTAGAAATGTAAATTCTTGGCCCCACCCCAGGCCTGCTGAATCAGAAACCCTGGGGGTGGGGCCCAGCAATGTGTTTTAGCAAGCCCTCCAGGTGAGTCTGAGGACTCCTAGGTTTGAAAATCACTAGTCTAATCTAACTGCCTTCAATTTCAACATGAGGAGGCAAGGGACAGGAGAGGGGAATTGACCTTCCCAAGATCCCATTGAACAAGACGACAACAGAGGATGGGGATAGAACTCCTGTCTCCTTACCTCTGGGCTAGAGTTTTTTTCTGCCAGTCCCTTATCACCTTCGACTGCACTGGTGTTTTTCAGAAGCTCTCCACCCCTGATATTCAGATTCAGCAGGTCTGAAGGTGGGGGAGGGTGGCCACTAGGTTGGGCAACCCCAGGCTATCCTGCGTGGCTTACCAACCTTGACCTTCAGGTTTTCCAGAGTGTACCCACCCCCTATTTACATTATGAAAAGGAAGCAAGCCAAGCAGAGCTCTGGACAAAGACCAGAGGAGCTGCACTGCTCTTAGGGTACTGACCTCTGAACCATCTGTAAAGTCTGGCTTCCAGTCTTCTGTGTTGCCAACCTCTCAGGACTGTTGTGAAGCCAGGGCTGAAAGCATTTTTTTAATTAATTATTTTGCATCAGTGATATGAATGTGTCATGGTAAAACATTCAAAAAGTACAAAAGAATATACAATGAAAGACACACACACACACACCAAACAGGACGCCTTCTTGGAGGCACATCCTGCGACGAGAATGTGTCCTCCCAGAGGTAATCTGTGCTTACGCAAATATACAAGGGTATGGGCTTTATTTTTCCCAGCAAATAAAATACCGTTAACCCTTGAACAACATGGGGGGTTAAAGGCACTGACCTCCCTCCCCTTCCGTGCAGTTGAAAATCTACCTATAACTTTTGGCTCCCCAAGCCTAACTACTCAAAGCCTACTGTTGGTTGGAAGCCTTACTGATAACATAAATGGTCGATGAACACGTATTTTGTATATGTATGATATAATGTGTTCTTACAACAAAATAAGCTAGGGAAAAAAGTGTTATTAAGAGAATCATAAGAAAGAGCAAACACATTTACAGTACGGTATTGAAAAGAAATCTGTGTGTAGAACAAACTGGAGTTGTTCAAGGGTCAGCTGTAATGGTTTTACTTTTTATTTTCAGATAATTATGGATTTCCATGCAGTTGTAGGAAGTCAGTCCACATACCCTTCACCCAGCTTCCCCCGGTGGTGACATCTTGCATAATGACAGTGCATTGCAGTTAGGAAGCTGACATTGAGACCATCCTTCTCCCTTATTCAGGTCCTGCCAGTCTCACAGATGTACTTCTTTAAACCCAAAAGGATACCACTGATGCCTCTGCTCTGAACCTTCTGGACACATTTTGAAAACTGCCGGTCTTTCTGTGCCAGCCATGTGCCAGGCACTATTTTATGTACCATATATGTAGTAAAGCATCTAAAGCATATAGTAAATCAGGCATGTAATAAATCACCTAACCTTCACATGAACGCCGGGCAGAGGGGTTCTGTAATTATCCCTACTGTATGGATTAGGAAACTGAAGCTCAGAAGGGTTAAGCCGCCTGCCTGTGTTCTCGCTGCTGTTTCGGACCCACTCTGGGGCTTCCCCACACAACAGGCATGCCTTTTCCTGGCGTTTTGAGCCTGGCTGTGCCCTCAGAGACAGGGGACAGTCAGGTAGGACATGGTGCCTTGCACCCCTCACAGCAAATGAAGTGGTTCCTCAGTTTCTTCTCCCCCGTTCTCTAGGGAGAGAGAACTTTCCTTCCTCCTGTCCTTCTGCCTGACATTCTCCCTCTTCTTTCTGACCCCCTAGGTCTCTGGAATTCAGCTGGGGATATTTTTTATTTATTTATACCCTGCCTTGTTCCATAGGGGATTTAGGGGCAGGTCAGGCTGAAGAGATTTCTCTCTGTTCTCGTCTCCCAGAGGAGCAGACTACGTTGCCGTGATAAACGATTTTTGATGGGATAAAAATTAATAAAGTGATGCAATGTTTCCCCTAATTTTTTAAAGCTGTGAGCAGATGCCTCTGTTACCTGAGCAGACAGCTGGGGCAGAGTCCGAGTCCATCTGTTCTCAGGCCAGGAGGGAGGGGGTGGGGAAGCTCTGCAGGGCAGGGGGCTGGGGAGGGACAGCAGAGGCCTGCAGCCAAGGTCAATGGCGAGGCCTGTCCGGCCCCAGAACGGCAAAGAAGCTAAGCGGCGGCTGGGCCTGGAGCCAGAGCTGGGGACAAGAAGCCTCCAGGCTGAAGTGTCTCCTTCAGGCCCCTGGATTCATTCAACAGGGACCCCTCCACCCCCCATCTCCTCCTGGCCCACTCCACAGCGTTTCCCTTGAATTCTCTTCTCAGTACAGCCGAGGTAGGCCAGAATGTTCTAAAGCAATTATTCCTAAAAACCTCAGGAACCAAAAGGGGAATGGCTAAAAGAAAATGTTAGAAGGAGAGAAAAAAAGTTCTTAGGGAAAACCAAGACTTTACAGCTGTTTGATATTAATAAAGCCTTTTAACATGCACCACACCATCCCCTGTCTCCACAGTCCTGTGAAATGAGAAAGACGGCGTTAGTTTCTCCATTTTACAGACACAGACACTGAGGCCCCCACAATGTCCCCAGAAAGTAGCCAAGCTGGGATTCTCCCTGCCTCCGCTGCAGGGTCTACTCTGTGAGCCTGCAGCCACTTTTGTGTGGCGTGTTGACTGTGGCCCTGTCCCCCTCCAAGTCTGTGCATAGTGATAGTGGGCTTGTGGCTCCAGAGTCCAGGCAAAGCAATTTCCTCAGTGTCCGACGCTGTGAGTACTCGATGGGTGACTAACTGAGGTAGTAGTATCATTATCACTGCTATTTAAGGCCTTTTTAAAAATTACGACTATATCATTTTTAGAGCATTTCTAGGCTGACAGCAGACTTGATAAGAAGGTACACATGTTTCCCATGTGTCTCCTGCTCCCATAGCCTCCACCACAAGAGGGGTACATTTGTTGTCGCTGAAGAACTGCATTGACATATACATCATTATCACCCCACATCTATACTTTATATTATGGTCTCTTAGTGTTGTACATTCTGGGAGTTCGGACAAAGGTATAATGACATGTATCCAGTGTTACAGCGTCATACAGAGGAGGTTCACTGCCCTAAAAATCCTGTGCTCCACCTGTTCATCCTCCCTCCCCTCAACCACTGATCTCTTACTGTCTCCATAGTTTTGCCTTTCCCAAAATGTCATATAATTGGAATCATACAGTGTGTAGCCTTTTCAGATTGGCTTCTTTCACTTAGTATTATGCATCTAAGTTTCCTCCATGTCTTTTCATGACTTGATAGCTCATTTCCTTTTTGCTCTGAATAATATTCTATTATCTGGATACACCACAGTGTATTTATCCATTCACCTGCTGAAAGGCTTCTTGGTTGCTTCCAAGTTTGAGCAATTGTGAATAATGCTGCTATAAACATCCATATGCAGGTTTTTGTGTGGACACGTTTCTTTATTTAAGGTTTTTGAGCAGGAGGCTAATGTGATGAAAACAGTATTTGAGGCAGATGAGGCTGGCAGCCCCATGTGGGCTGGGGGGGCGCAGGAGAGGAATCGTGGGGGCGCTGAGGGGGCCACTGGGGCAAAAGCGGATAGGGTGATCCAGGGAGGGGATCGTGGGAAGGTCAGATCCAGAGTCACCGCAGGCAGGGGCTGCGGGAGATGAGGAGGCAGACAGGACTCCGGGGGCCCCAGGCATGGTGTTAGGAGAGATGGCTGGTCTGTCTGAGGAGGGGAGTCAGACAGTAGTGGGTCTGGGTGGAAGGAAGGAGATGGTGTGTTTAGGCTCCTGCAGGAGCTCCATGAGGCATCACGTTTAACAGAAGTGGGCTCTCTGGCTGGGAGGAAGGTGGTGGGGCTGCTCCCTGGACCTGCCAGGACAGCCAGGGAGCAGGGACGGTGTGGGCTTCAGGAGTAGACAAGTCTGGGCGTGAATCCCAACTCCTTCACTTACTGTCTATGACTTGGCCAACCTGTTTCCTCATCTGTAAATGCAGTTTTCCCTCTCCACTCATGGAGTTTCTGTGAGGGTTAACAGAGCCAATGGAGATAAAACTCTCCCAGGGGGTTGACCCACCACAGGCCCTCTGCAGTCTGCACCCTGTCCTGGCACCTTATGAAGCTGGAGCCGGGAAGCTGCTTCCTGGGGACCTGCCTGCAGAACCAGCTTGATTTATGATTCTTGTCTCTGTTTTCACAGGAACTACCTCTTCAGACTCAGCCTTGCCAATGTTTCCCTCCTTCAGGTACATTTGCCTCCCTTCCCTTCCCTTTCTTTGTGATTTCCCCGGTATTTGGGAGCTGGGGCTGGGGTAGCACAGGGAGCAAGGTTCAGAATTCAGCCCCCATGGTTGAAAACAGGAGCCCCATGCTCTTTTCACTGGCCGTGGACTCACGCCGGCTTCCAGGTCTAACAGCCAGGAAGGTATTTGGAAGTGAGGGTCACCCACATAAACATGGAGGCACACATGGGGCTCCTGCATTGTGCAGGGGAACTGCTGACAAGGGGAGAGAAGGAGCACCCAAGTGAGAATGACCAACTGGCCTTGTGTGCCTGAGACTGAGGGGTCTCGGGATGCAGGACTTTAGGTGCTAAATCTGGGAGAGGATTGGGCAAACTGGACTGGTTGGTCATTCTAAGTCTTACAGAAAGGACTGAGTTTTGGCCTCAAGAGAAAGGGTATCCCTGGTTCCTTTTTTAGCTTGGCCTGAGTGATCCCATTCTAACTCAGCGTTTTCACTGGACTGTGATTGATTTATTATCTGCTGCCAAGAAGGACTCCCCAAGCATAATTCCCTAAGTGCTCTAGGAGGCATTTTAATGGGACTCCTTGATCCAGAACATTTATCCCAGATTGAGAAACAGATGCCAAACCATCTCTGCAGAGACGGAACTTTCTAGATGAAAGAAGTCCATCTTTTCCTCAATGAGGGGAAAGCCTCCGTTCTTGTGTCTAGGAGGCTTGAGTATTTGTTGTGCATCAGATCTGAGCTGGGGGAGGAGGGGTTGTAAGACAAGCAGAGTCTCTGACCTCTAGGGCTCACTGTATAGCCAAGAAAAGATGGTGAGTGATGCATCTAACCTAATTACAGAATGGTTAAAGGACGCAGTCAGGTGCTGGACGGTTTGGGGTACAGTTTCACTGCAAATGGCATTCGGGCAAGGGGACACCTCCTTGGTGAGCTGTTGTGACATTCTGGTCTGACCTTTTCTAGCTGCACCTGGGTGTATACCCCCATGGGCCATTGCAGCTGACTGCCAGAGGGGAGGTATAAGGGAGCAGAAAAGGTCTGACCATCAGAAGGGAGGAACTAGGGCAAATAGAAAGGAAACACCATTCATTCATTTATGGCTCCATCTATCCTTCAGTCCTTACCCTTACCAGCCAAGCTGCCATCCATTCATCCAACTACCCATCCAATTAACATTTATTGAGTACCTACAGAAGGCTGGGTCTGGTTGGAGGCATGGTACTAGGCATTTGAGATCCAAAGTTGAATAAGGCTTAGTCCCTGGCCTCGAGGAATAAACAGATGAGATCACAAAGGATTCCCTGTCCTGGATGGGATTTCTGTGGCATGATCTTGGGGCCTGGGCTAGAGCAGCCTCAGTGACCTGCCAGCTTGGTCACAAGCAGCCCATCTAGAGCCTACTTACCAATTGATATCCACAGAAAATGAAACCAAGTTGCCAAGCGCAGCAGGTCAGGGCCTGGGGAGAGTGGGCGCAGAGGTGGTTCAAAGTGGGTGAGAGGAAGTGGACCCGGGCAGGGGTCCTACCCTGAGCTCAGGAAGTCGGCTTTTTGTTAGGTTCCCAAGGTCTGCAAGTGAAGATCTTCTAGGAGCAGTAAAGTGGTCCCAGAGAGAAAGAGAAACAGATGCCGTGCAAAGCATGCAGGGAGGGGTGAAGGCTAGGTTCAGTGGTGGCACTGGTGGCACCAGAGGCACTAGAAACCCATCAGGCTCAGCATGGTCTGCAAAGCCTTCTCGGAAAGCTGCCCTTGGCCTGGAGCTTGAAGGATGGGGATTTTCCAGGCAGCTCAGGAGGGGACACAGAGGTGTGAAATAGCATGGAGCACTGAGGGACCTGGTGGCAGGATCATTGGGTATGAGTGGGCAAAGGGTGGGAGATGAGGCCTGGGAAAAGAGAGAGACCACTTTGCACCTGGCCTGGTGCAGAGAATGGGTTAGTCAGGGGAGCCTGTTTGGAGGCCACTGCAATAGCTCAGGTGAGTGATGGGGAAAACTGAACTAAGGCAGGGGGTGGGGATGGAGAGAAGAGGAGGAAGATCTGCAGGTGATGGAAACACACAGGGTCACAACATCAAACAGCTCCAGGGCGCATCAGGCACACTGTCTTTTGCATGAAGGAGGAAGGGAAGTTAGCAGCTCTGGGGGGCTTGGCCAAAGGCTTGGCCCACGGTGGTGCCATCCAGGGCTCTGGCTTACAAAGCTGGGTAGCATAAATCAGGTTGGGAATGAAGCTAGCCTGGCTCTTGGCAGTAGTTCTGCCTTGGCTGCCCAGTAGAATCACCAGGAGAGATTTGAAAAACACTGATGCTTGGTCCCAACCTCAGAGATTCTGACTTGATCGGTCTGAGGTGCAGGTGGGCACTGGGAATTAAAAAAAAATTTTTTTTAAACGTTAATTTATTTTTGAGAGACAGAGAGAGACAGAGCATGAGCGAGGGAGGAGCAGAGAGAGAGGGAGACACAGAATCTGAAGCAGGCTCCAGACTCTGAGCTGTCAGCAAAGAGCCTGATGTGGGACTTGAACTCACAAACTGTGAGGTCATGACCTGAACTGAAATCGATGCTTAACCAACTGAGCCACCCAGGCGCCCCGGCACTGGGATTTTTTAAAGCCCCCAGGTGCTTACAGCACGCAGCCAAATTTAGGAACCGCTGCTTTGGATGTCAATGCCTTTTCTGTAGGTGCTGCCTGCCTGGTTTGGCTTCTGACAGTTGGCCCACAGTTCCCGGGTCCCATACCTTATCAGATGTTAGGGCTCTCTGGCTTGATGATGAGGCCTGACACTTGGTTCATCCCTCTCTGTGTTGAGCTGGCCTCTGCCGTGGGAAGATATCTTATGCTAACCCCATAACTCGCACTTGGAGCAACGGCTCAGCTGCAGGGGCTTCTCTGAAGGTTGCTGCCAACCAGCCACAGGTACACTAGGAATTGGTTTCATCACCTTCCCAAGATGTCTCTTTGGGGCCTGATCTCAGGAGTCTAGACTAGATTTTCCATGACAGAATAAGGAGAGGATTTCATGTCCACATCCCTACCATAGTGGACTACCTACCATCTGACCACAAAGGGGAAAGAAAGGGAGAGAAGTTAGAGTGGGCTGTCCGGAATTCCTGGGCAGACTGGAGGTGAACCCCCGGCTCAGGTCCCCTGGTCTGTCATCTGGCCTGGTGAGAAAGCCTTGACTTTTGACCACAGAAGCCTGGCCTCCGCAAGTGCCCTTCCATTGCCCTATTTGGGGCTTTGGGGTTCCTGCTCATAAGCTTTCAGTCCTCAGCATCTGCTATCACAATTGCTTACAGAAACCAAGTGCTAACCAAGAGCTGACCACCAGTGTCAGGAGGAGGTAGGACCCAGCGCTCCAAGCCAGCTTCCTCTACTGTCCATACTTCCTGGGGGTGCAAGGCGGTAACTCTAAGTTACAGCCAAATGCTCCACTGAATCCAAGGAAGGATTTAACAATGCTTTATTGATACCTTAAGTAATTAACATCCCTTTAAAAAATCTAAATACAAACAGTTTATGCAAACCAGTGTCCATTAAAAGGACTTCTAAGTGCCTAACCCCTATTAAACAGTTTATGTGAACTACTATTCCTTCAGGAAAATCTAAATACCCAGCCTCCTTCCCAATTCTCCAAGCACAAGAGGTAAGATACAGGTAGCAGCACAGAGGGCATTGCATGAGCGCGTGCATACGTGTGTGTGTGTGTGTGTGTGTGTGTGTGTGTGTGTGTGTGTTTACTGCTGCTTGCGGTCAGGAAGGGGAAATAAAATCAGCTCCTCTGTGATGGTTATTTATCAGTGTAACCTGAACTGGTTTGGAGAAAGAAAAGGTGGCGAGTGGTCAACAGTGTCAGGGGGTTGCTGTGTGATGAGCTATCCTGGATTTGGCAATTTTCTGGCCTTTGCCAGAGTAGTTCAGGGAATGATGTGTCTGGAGGCTTAATTGCAATGGATTCATGATCTTGGGCTGCTAGATGTCCTGGAAGTGCAGAAACACGGACTTTTTCTACATATACCCCATCAGGATACACATGGGGCTTTGTTGGGCCTTGGCATACAGTGAAGCTGATTCTGAGCTCTCTTCTAGTTAGCTCTACATTCTCCAAGCTGGTCTGGCAGCTCTCAAGTTATTTAAAAAATCTGCTGGTGGCGGAAGCCGGTTATGTCCGACTTCAGCCAGGTCAATGCATCTCACGGGTCTGTGAGTTTGAAATGCTGGGCCAGGCTCTGGGTTGATGGTCAGAGCCTGAGCCTGCTTCATTCTGTGCCTCCCTCTCTGCCCTCATTCATGCTCTGTCTCTCTCTGTCCCAAAAATAAATAAACGTTGAAAAAAAAAAAATTAAAAAAAAAAAATTCAAACTCTTCGGGACGGTGGACCCAGCTGCCTGAAAATGTTTTAATGATCAGCCATTGTCGCTGGTGTCCAAGGAAGTTGCTGGGTCTGCAAGGAGATTATCCAGGCCCTGGCCGTCTTGCCTGCTGTCTCAGAGAAACCATACAGCGGTTACCTGTTACTGGAGACCGTCGCATTAGAATTTCAAAGTCCTACAGCTTTATGCACAGTGCATTGATTGATCATACATATATATCTCTACTCCTTCACAAAACCCCACTAAAAGGACAGTGAGGAATTTTAAAAGGTATAGGTCCATGAGAGAGAAACAAAAGACACTAATAGAAGATTAACATAGCTAGGAGATGGAAAGGGATGAGATGAATATCAGGGCAGCACGAACAGAACAGTTTACAGAGGAAAATATGGCAGAGAAGCAAACTGATCCCAGCCCCCAGAAGGGCTTAGAAGTTGGGTATTGGGGAATGGGAGAGGCAGGGGGGGCAGTTGAAATTGTCTGAATTGAGAGATTGTAATCCAGGGATTCTATCCCATCCTACACAGCAATCCCTTCATCCATTTCACCCCTTCCCCAACAAAGAGAGACTAAGACCCTTACTCTAAAGAGCCAACTGGTGAGTCTCCAAATTTGGAGA